TTTATAGCAAAATAAGTATTGTATGGTATATACTACCATTGAGGCATGAAATAAGCTATTTATGTTTTTCCTCTCTATTTGACAGCTGGACATACCTATTTTAAGGGATTGTTGTTACTGTATTCATGAATACATGGCGCGAATACATGCGTGTACAGTTGGTCTGCCCTGATTTTAGGCGTTTTTTGTTGTTGTATTCATGAATACATGGCGCGAATACACGTGAATACATGCCCATACGGCTAGACTGTCCTGATTTTAGGCACTTTTTACTGCTGTATTCATGAATACAACAACGCGAATACATGTGAATACATGCACGTACAACTGGACCACCCTGTTTTTAGGCGCTTTTTACTGTTGTATTCATGAATACATGTGAATACATGCGCGTACAACTGAACTACCTTGATTTTAGGCGCTTTTTGTTGTTGTATTCATAAATACAACAACGCGAATACATATGAATACACTATTGTAACAACTAAATAATAGTTATAGGAAATAATTATGTATATGATAGCTATAGAAAGTTAATAGTCACTAAATAATAGTGATTTAAAAAGTGGTTTATGCCGAAATATTTTTTCCGGAAATATTAAATTTATTTAAGTCATTCTCCTTTAGTGCTCATGCATTAAAATGCATGATTTTCTTATGGCTCGATCAATTTTTATAATATGCCTATGTGTTGGGTTTATTTTATTTTAATTTTTTTCAATTCATTTTATTTTAATTGATCGTCACTTAACTTGTACCAGACCTTATGCTGGTAAGATCTATGAACTTCACAAATGTCAGTTATGATATTGTTGGAAATAGGTTAAATAATGCAATATTTATGCTTAATTTTTTTCTTCCTAATATCTCTGATTAAACATTGATTAGTTTATGCAATATTTGTATTTCTCCTAGTCCATTAAACTAAATTCTTCGTTATTGTATTTCCTTTTAAACTATTATGATTTTATTTTTTTGAGCCGATGGTTTATCGGAAACAACATCTTTACTTACTCAAGATAAGTATAAGGTTTGCGTACATAATACTCTCCACAGATCCTACTTGTAAGATTACACTAAGTGTATTGCTGTTTTTTTTTAAATCAAACGACCCCTTAATAATAATGTTAAAAAATTGTGCGTTAAGATTGTGATGCTGTACTAATCTGTTTTGACTGTTAATGATTAATTTTTCTCAACCTTTTGAAATATTTTAAATAAATAATTGTAATCTAAAATCTGATTTGATTAGTTGATCTAATATATGCAAACATTTTATTAGCATAAACAAAATATCCTACTACATATATAATAATTTAATGATCAATTTATTACTACTATATTTCCTATAGAAATTCGTATGAAACGAAACGGTCACAAAATTATTCAAAAATAAATCTATCCAATTTAGGATTCATATTTCAAGGTGGATAAATTAAATATCAATGTATGTGTAAGGAAACAAAGAATTGAGTGGACTCTTACGTTTTCCAAAGAAAGGCACGTGGATTTATGAGGGAACAAAGAGACTAAGGACCAGTTTGGCCATGTCACCACTTATTTTTCCTACTTTATATATATATATATATATATATATAGAGAGAGAGAGAGAGAGAGAGACTAGATGAGGATTACAAGATGAGTTGCTCTGATGGTAAGCATCCTCTACTTCCAACCAAGAGGTTGTGAGTTCAAGTCACCCCAAGAGGAAGGTGTGGAGTTCTTGGAGGGAAGGATGCCGATGGTCTATTGGAAACAGCCTTTCTGTTGTTGTTGTTGTTGTTGTTGTTGTTGTAGAAGAGGGTTGTATTACTTCGACTATTTTGTAAGACTATTCATGTCAATTTAAATAATATATTTTAAAATAAAAACTTCATATGCATCTTTAATCAATAAAAATTATTGCATTTCTGAATTAACCATATAATTTTAAACTTAATTTATTGGAATTAAACATCAAGGAAAAAGGAGTAAAAAGGTTACCAATATTTCATCAATTTGCTTTTTCTTTGTGTTTGTGTGTTATTTTTTCTCACATTCTAATTTAAAATTTACAATAAATCTTTTTCAGCATAATAATAAGTAGTCTTATTTGTAGCACAAAATTCTTAGACAACACATTTTAGTAATTTCTTAGCGTGTTAAATTTAAGAAAAAAAAGGTCCCAAATTTATTAAACCTCATCAACTTGTGCATAACCATAAAGTTTGCATTTTTCTTCAATGACAATTCATTACTTAATAGTATTAAATAAGATGTGATGTCTTCCTTTAACATAAAAAGAAATATGTCATTAGAAATGGATTTGGAAATGTAGAAACAAATATTTCTAAAGGAGTATCAATTCTATTATTTCTTTTTATAGACCTTTTTCATTAAGTGCTAGAATTAAATCCAGTTGAACAGTTGTACTTTGAAATGTTTATTTGACATTGAAAATAATCATAAAAGTTCAAATGGTAATGATATTATAATTTGAACAGTAATACCGTGTACCTTTTCTCCTTTTCTTATTTACATGTCCATTTTTTTTTGTACCCTCCCATTTAGCAACTTAACATAAATATAGTGGATAAATTATTTATCTCACTTTAAAATTTTATCTTCTTTAGATTTGTAATATCCTTTTTTTCTTAGATTAAGAGCCCGTTTGGATTAACTGGAAAAAGTAGCTTTTAAGTACTGAAACTTGTTTTATAAATAAGCAGTTACCTGTTTGGATAAAAGTGCTGAATCTTAAAAAACGTTATTAAAGTGTTTGGTAAACAAGTGCGGGTAAGAACTTCTTTTTGTTAAAAAGACAGAAATATCCTTAAAATTATTAACATTATAAAGGAGCTGATTACTACAATATATTTTATTTATATAATTAATGCAAATAAAAAATAATTTATATTTTAATTTAATTTCAATTTAAATGATTACTTAAGATAGTTTTTACAAATATAGTTCTTGAACGCTCATTTTTAGTTTGTACAAAAGAGGAAATAAAAATAATTTGTTTCTCTAACTAATAAAGATTCAGAATATAAAATCATTGCATCAAATTTTCATAACACTGATTTATGAACCCTCAACAGTTGAGCTGGATGACACAAATCACACATGACAGTGATTTAACTTTAGATCTTAACTTAGTGTTATTATAGTTCGAATTGAATATCTATGTTGAAATCAAGTCCTACTACTCTTTAATTTCAATAAATCAAGTATTACTATTCTTTAATTTCAATCGTTCTAATTTCAACCACTTAATTATATACATATTTCAAGAGAACGAAACAAAATAACATTTCTCAATTGGAATGTAAAATAATAAATATTAGTGTTTTAAAAGATTCATACAACTACAAGTATCAAGCTTCCCAAATTTCATTGGCAATCAAATCGCGAAGACCCATCCAAACAAGATCACTTTGCTCTTCCATATTTTCCGCATTTATATTTTTATTAGCTCTCAAAGATGTACTAACATCAGGATCAACAGATGGAACATATCTCTCATTCTCAGCTGTTCGGAATGCATCATCCATATTGCATTTCTTTCTAATATAGTTATGAATAGCCATAGTAGCAAGTACGATATCTTTTTGAGTGTCAATGTGATAGAAAGACATGTCTCGCAAAATAGACCATGTTGCTTTCCAAACCCCAAATGTGCGCTCTACAATATTTCTACAAGAAGAATGCAAATAGTTAAATTTTTCAATTTGCCCTCTTGGTTCTCGCAATTGTCTTGTTGCACCGCGACGGAATTGTGCTAGGTGATATCTCACATTATCTCGTTTGTATGAAGCCATATATCCATTCATATGCGAATATCCTGCATCAACTAGATAATACTTATTTCCAATTCGACGTGAAAAGTTGAGTTCTGGTCTACAAATGGCCTCACCAAATATACGACTATCGTGAGCTGCTCCTTCCCACCCAACCCATGCAAATGTAAAACACATATTAAAATCTACGATAACAAGAATATTTTGAGTCGGATAACCTTTACGTCCAATATATTGTATCTCTTGACCTTGCGGTAATCTTGCTTTAACATGTATGCCATCAAGTGCTCCAATACAATCCTACACACATTTACAAGTATAAATTTAACTTAAGTTAGTAATACTTATAAAAGTTAAGTTATAAGTTTAATAAAAAAGAATCATGTAAAAATATTTCTTACTCTAAAGAAAGGGAGATATCGACCATTACATGGCTTGTGAGCTCCTGCACCATCATTATAATTTTGATGTGGTCTAATTATATCTCTTGCAAGCTCACAAATGGCCTTTAAAACACTATAAAAGTGTCTATGAATTGTTTCTCCCGAATGTTGAAAGATTTCCTGTATCTATCGATTTCCAGCTCCATGTGCACAAGTCATCAAAAACATGCCTAACATCTCGTGTATAGACATTCCAAGTGTGGGTTTAAACCCATACTTTTCAGTTAGGTCATTCGATAGATCAACAAACACCGACTTCCTCAATCAAAAAATTTCATAACAACGGGCCTCGTTTCCTCTTAATATCTCTTGAATAAATACATTTCCAGAGCGACTAAATGTACGGCAAGGTTCCTTGCATAGGCATTTTTCATAATACATCAAAATCAATTTACCTGCTATTTGACATAAAGCCTTCCATTCCTTCTCCTCTTGCTCCCTCTGTATTTCCTCCAATGCTTTTTCATATTCATCATCTGACGAATAACTTGGATAAGGATCTACTATATCACTAGAGTTCAAACTCTCCATTTTACTGAAAATAAAAACATAAAGTTAACTGAAGCTTTCTAAACATAACCTTAACTAAAACTTTACAAACATAAAGTAATGGGAAGCTTAACAATAGTAAGCTTAACCGAAGCTTAACAATAGAAGCTCAACAAACAGAAGTTTTAATTCAATAAAAGTTTAATGATACAATCAGAACGTCTAAACAAGAAGCAATATATAAAGTTTACACATAAAATCATAATAACGTTTACACATACAATCACAATATTAGAACATGGAATACTAGAAATACCCAACCACAATGATACATTATCCATTTTTCTTGAGGTATAACTGATAGTTAAACTCCAACCAAGACTTGCGACCCAAAACTATCTGTCGGTTATTTTTCTTGCGGAACATATTCATAGTAAAACTGTAAATTTCACTCCCAGTTAGAATATCAGAAATTTATTCCAACATGCCAATACACTTCTCGATGGATGTCTCATCAACTGCAGGAGATGTAGCAGTGCTTTTGCTTGACATAAACTCTATGAGAGAGTGTATATCCTCTTTTATTAATGTTGCAGCTGTTTTTTCTTACTCTTTCGTACTTGACTACTGGTGCTAACACCATCAGTTGATTTTTGTCTTTTTAGTGATGGCTCTGGAAATATAACAGAATTTATATTTTGTAGATCATCACTTGCATCACCCATTTCATCATTAAGATGAATAAAGTGTTCTTTGTCACAATCATCAATAACATTTATTCCTTCTTCATCAAGATTAAGTCCAATGCCAGATGATTGTTCTTGATTTGTTGCACGTGCTCTTTCTCCTGTGGCAACAACATCAGCAAACAGTGCATCGTAGCGAAACCATATGAGCGAAAGATCTTTGTTCCTAAATTTCTTATATTTTGTATTCTCCTGTAAAAAGAGAAAATCAAAACTACTTTAATCAAACTGATAAACTTAACAATGAAAAAAATAAGAATTACACATATAATAATGTGAGAGATTTACCTTAATTTTTCGCTCCCACCAATCATCATCTGCCGTAATCGTATTTTTCATGGCATCACATCCTAAACATGTCTCCCCTCTCATCAACTGCTTAAAAAGTGTCCATTCGCCTTTCATGTACTCCCAATGATTTTTTATTTTTCTTATCATAGTCTTTTCCCGTCTTCTTACGGAACTCGTCAACAATACTTTTCCACCCATATTTATTTAAGTAAGTGTTTGGTATATTTTCTTTTCTAACCTCTTGCTCACACAAATCAAGAAATATAATATGTGTATCATCGTCCCACTTAGCATTATCCGGCATAATTGAATGTAAATAATCTGAAGAAAGTAGGACAACGAAGAAGCTAAGACTGAAGTTGCATAAAGAGAGCCTAAAAGAGCCTTGTGTTTGATAGAAAGAATGCCTTTAGGTGTTTGCTTTGAGGCTCCGTGATGAACTAAAGAAGGCAACAATTGAAACAAATACATTTGGTGAAATACAGATTATTTTGCTACTCTAAGTGACATATATTATGAAGTTTTAAAGCTTATTTTAAATTGAAACCTCCGTACAGAAACACAAGGCTGAAAACTACAATCAATGACCACACATATTTATGTTAGTTTGCAAAGCACAGCCACTCCTAGGCCCAAATAAAGGAGGTCAGTTATGGTAAGTTGATGGCCAACATAAAAGTAGTCTAATAGATTCAGAGGATTCATAATTTC